TTAATTTAATTTAAAAAAAAAAAACATTAATTTACCTGACGCTGATAATTTTCTTTACGTATAGCAGATTTTTGCTTACAAATGATTCTTAAAAAATAAAATTTCATGGTCACTTTCAAATTTACGAAAAATTCTATTACATTAGTTTCACAAAAGTCAATTTTCGGACAAGAGTTTAGGTTGCAAGATGAGAGAAGAATGTAATACATGTAAAGATAATGGTCTCTTTAAATTTTTTTACGTGATTCTTATTCCAAAAGAATAAAATTTCACCCCAAAAAATTTAAAAAAAGTTCAAAATAAAAGAGAAGAAAATTTCTCAATGCTAATTAACGCAAATTGTTAAAAATGGCTTACGGTTTATTGCCTAAAATTATTCGCGGGCGAGGTCAGAAAGTCCCGCATTCGTTTTGCATGATTCTGGCGTGCACCAAATTAGAAGTATTTCGCGCCGGTTGTCTTTATATTGGCACTAACACGCCGTCTTCTCTCGAAGATCCGGTTTCACTTGGCTCGCAAACGGAAAGATATTCCGCGATGCGGGCGCGGGCCGATTTAAGATTTCTTATTTTTATTATATTGTGTCATTTCTTATGGCGCGTAACATGGTGGCAAGTAGCTGTACGGTAAGCTCAGATACGAAATTATGTCAGTATAAAAAAAAACGATTTCAGATAAATCAAAGAAATCTACTTATGTTCGTTTCTTTGTTTCTATATTAATGTAGATAACTTTCAATATCGTTTAATTTATTCTTCTTCTTTTAATTCTTATAATTGGAACTAAAAAAATACGAGAAGTAAGAAATTAAAGTTAATTAAAAATAACAATAAATAAATAAATTTAAATAAATTTAACGAATAAAAATAAATAAGTAAATAAGTAATTTTTAAATTTTTTAAAGTGAGATTCATTGAAAAAAATTTAGAAGATAAAATATTTCCTACTTAATATAAAGTTAAGCTATGTTAATAGAAATTGACATTAAAAATTAAACTGATTAATCCTGATTTTCTAAGGTTTTTACAACTTTATAGATTTATTTATATTTTTATTTATATAATAGTACCGATCAGTTTGGCTTTTGAAAAGCTTATGTAAAACAATTACGATTATAGTTGTATAGAAATAAAAAAATAATAATTTTACAAATTAATTTTTATTATATGTAAAATAACAGACAATATACAGCAAATGCCTAGATATTTTCACAAAACATTATTTTTTTATGTATTGTAATAATAATTAATTACTTGTGTGTATAAGAGAGAGACTTTCCATACATATAAGATATGTAGGTATTATTTATTTAGGTTTAATGTATTAGTGTCTCATGTTGGTCTCTTTTTTTTTACAAGCATCGAGGCGAGCGGAATTTTTTCGCCTCGTGACGATCGATTGCTTCTGTTCAGTTTAATATATACATACTAAATCGCGAAGCCTGTTTTTAAATATACTGTGCGTTGCGCAGCAGGAAAGAAATTTTCCACGAGAGGGAGAAAGAGAGAAAGAATAGGGGGGAGGGAGGTGAGAACTCCAAATGTGAGTAACGTCATATAATACATTATTATAAATCACGTCGTCAGAGCGGGGATAAAAACTGTATGTGTTCGTTATATTTAGCCAAACATATTTGCAGCTCGATCCGACGAGACGCGATTGCTCGCGTTGGCGCGTATATTATATTGTTTTTAAACCAAATGTTAAAAATCGCGAATCTGATGTAATCGCGTGAAAGTGCTTGAAATTTTACTCGTTGGTGCCACAAGCACGATATTACAACTCAGAGCGGTCTGATCCCGGCACAGACCTATTGTTTTCATACTTTTTCGTACGAGAGTCAGCGTGGCACGGCACGGTGCGGTGCGGCGCGACGCGAAAGGAGAATGGAAATCACCGACGGTGGAAACTGTTACGCTCGTGCTCTATATAGCGACGTCGAAGCTAACATTGCGAAGACCCGACAATGTTGGGTGAGCAAACCGTGAAAACGCTGAGTTAAAATCCGTACTTTCTGCGCGGAGCAGCAGTCGTCAGTTTTTTCGAATTGACGCTTTTCTTTTACAAAAAAATTTCCTTGTCCTTCAATTTAAACGATAGATGAAAGGTTTGTTTAATCAACTAAGTAATTCTTTATACTTCGAGGAAAAGTATCAACTGGAAAAGAAAACACGGGATTTTTAACAGTAACATTTGATCACACAATGGTATAGAATTCATTTTTTTAAATATTCATTGTTAAAATATTTAATGCCTCCCTGCCTAGGGGCGTACGACTTTCCACGAGAAGCGAGGTTCACCCCATCTCTTTCCCCTACCTAAGGACGTGCAACTTTCCACGCGAAGTAAGGTCCACTCCTCTCTCTCTCTCTCTCTCTCTCTCTCTCCCCAGAGGCTTTCCATGCGAAGCAAAATCCAGATGAAATGTCGTTACGCCTCTAGGCAGGGGGAAGTGGGGTTGGACCTCGTTTCGCGTGGAAATCATTATGCTCCCCGTAACTAAAGGGGAGGGGGTGTAACGTAGTATTTAATATTATATACATATACTAGAAATAAAACGATATACTACTTTTATTAATAACTTTTTAATGAATTATCGACCGCTAACTAAGAACTCTTTTGGAGGTCACTCAGAATATAATATATGTATATAATTTATATAATAATTAATACATAATCCAAGTTGGGAACCTTTTCTTGTAAGTGATTCTTACATATACATATAGTTTAACATTTCTTAAATGTATTTATATAAAAGTGTATGTTTAAAAGGCTGCGGATTATTAATTAGCCAGATACTCTGAGTATTATAAATAAAGTATATAAATGTACAGGACACGTTCTACTGTATGGACTTTCAATTACAGAAATTCTAAATATTAGGAATCTTAAATCGGACTATGAAGTAAGATATCGTGTTGTCATATAAATCATGTATTCTCTTAGCAGATATATACAAGTATTTAGATATTTTACAATTAGTCAAGCACGAAATTTGCTTCGTTCGATGAAAATATAAAAGATATTTACGTGTCTCAAAAAGCAAGAGTAGCGAAAATATAAGTGATATCGAAACAATAAAATAAGAGATAATGAACTGACACGACATAATTCGTGGATTTCTCTTTTATTATCTTTATGCGTTTTACATATATCGCGGCTGAGAGAACGTAAACATAGGATAAAACGGGATTAAATCGATATAAGACATTGAAAAGTTTTGACGCAATCGCTCGAATACTTGTAGGTTTGAGAAATTAAAATTATTGATTGCGCGGCCAACGCGTATTGTAAATGCAAAAGAGTATTGTACACATATTGTTTTTAAAAATAATATTAAAATATATTATCTTAATAACAAGCAAATATATATAATGAATCGTGTTATTTGGATGAACAAAAAATATTTATACAATCAAGAAATTTTTAACTCTTAAGAGTACGATTATTAAAAAAAAAAAAAAACTATTCTTTGTTCGAATATTTTTCGTATTAATTGTATATGCAACTTGGTTACAGAACACGTTTACATAAATTTCGGGCGGAAGTCATCAGTCTCCCAATCGGCAGAATCGGGTCGCCGATCGAAGAAAAGTCGAGTATTTCTGCGCTTTCGAAATGAGGAATCGCCGACGATCGCAAAATAGAACGCCCAGATGGGGTCTCAACGTTGCAAACCACGAGAGAGCTTCCTAACCTCAAAGACAGCACGAGTCGTGAATTTTTTCGACAGGAGCCGCGGGGCGCCTGAAGCGCCTGCGCTTCGTCCAGCACTGCGGCAGATTCGTGGACTGCTACGGAAATTGCCGACCGCGTCCCGTCACGCGGCGGTTGACTCCATCCCGATCGTCCCAGCCTGATCGCGGTCGCGGGTAGTGCGTGGTGGAGCGCGGTTCGTAACGGATAGATTGATAGCAGTGGGGACTGCGTCACGTCACGAAATATACCCTCGAAATAAGCGGAAGAAAAAACGAGGAGGAAAACAGCAGGAAAACGTGCGCGCGCGCGACAGAGTGGGTGTGAGTGTGTATGTGTATGCGCGGGTGTATGGAAAAGAAGAAGCGAAAAGGAGTCGACGTAGGGACGAGACTGCACGATCGTGGAGTCGCTCGTCGAGACAGCTCGCTCCGGAACTAGGACTTCGGTGTCGCCGCAAATCGCGAAGCAGCAGCCTCCGCCGCGCCTACGACGCCGTTCGTTGCGTGGAACACGATGTACGTGACGGGGATGGAACGTGCGGAAAAGTGGCGAAAACCGTAAAGGTGGTAGCGCAGTGCTGTGCACGTCGGTGGCGATAGTAGCCCGTCGTATCGGCGGTTTCGGCAGCGGCGGCGGTAACGACGACGACGACGACGACGACGGCGGCGGCGGCGGCGACGACGACAACGACAACGACGACGACGACGACGACAATAGCAACAGTGGTGGTAAACAGTGGTGGTGGTGGTGGTGGTGACAGTGACAGTAGTGGTGCAGGGACGGCACGGAGACGCTCCGATGGTACTTCGGTGAGCGAACGTGCGGCGGTGGAGGAGAGGTACGCGCCGCTGCGTGTCGCATGTAGCACGCCGGCTCGGCGGCGGTGGCAGTGGTGGTCTGCGCGCGTGTTAGCGCGACACGCACTTGCTCGACGGGGCCGCGTATCGTCGTCGCCGTCGCCGTCGTTGCGTTCTTCGGAGTGGCGGAGTCGCGATTCGCCGTCGTCGCCGCCACCATCGTCGCCGTCGTCGTACTTCTCGTTTCTCGACGCGGTCGCTGATCTGCCGTCCCGTCCTGTCGCCGGCGACGCGGCGCGGCAACCGTCTCGTCGTCGTTCGCCGGAGTGAAGGAAAGTGAGAGAGACAGAAAGAGAGAGAGAGAGAGAGAGAGAGAGAAACAGAGAGCAGCATCAGACATTACTCGTCGTCGCCATCATCGCCGCCGCCGCCGCCGCCGCCGCCGCCGCCGTCGTCGCCGTCGCCGTCGCCGCTCCTCTCTCTCTCAGTCGCTCTCGCCGGGGGCCACCGCACCGAAGGCGTCCGCGCGACGAGCCAGGCCAGCCGCTACGCAAGATGGCTATGTGCCGCTGACGGGTGGCCGACAAACCGGACAGGAGTACAGACAGTCCGCGGATAATCGGAACATGCGGCTACGTGACCGTCGGGCCCGTCCCTGAAGAGAGAGACCCTGGCCAAGAAGCGAGAGGTAAGCGAGACGTATGTGTGTACGAGAGCGAGTTTCTCTCTCTCTCTCTCTCTCTCTCTCTCTCTCTCTCTCTCGCTCGTAATGGATTTCTCTATCTTTTGGTTTGTACATTCGTCAATAGACGAATTTCCACGGTCGCTTATTCGCCTGGGCCTTTTCCCTCCTCCTTTGTCCTTTTTTCTAATCCGCTTTTTCGGAGTACCCTCCGGAGTAGAGTCGGAGCGACAAGGTGGGCCAACGTGACAGGAGTTAAACGTCCGTTCCTGGCTCACGTTATACTCGGCGTGCACGTTGAACGCTATACAACGGCTGACGATCGGGCGAAACCGTACGTGCCATGGACTATACCGGCATCGCCGACGATCACCTTACACGAGGTGAAGATGCGGTACACGCACAGGTACGCGCGCGCTGACTACGTGGCCAAAAAGTATAAACAGTCTCTAAAGTTGAGAGTCCTCCCTCCCCCTTCTCATCCTGAGGAGGTCTTCCTTGAATAACGTCGATCGCGCGCTGATCTTCCGAACTTTGCGCGAACAACCAAAACTTCCCGATCTCTTTTTCACGCGAAATTGTTCTCTCCCCCCCCCCCCCTCTCTCTCTGTCTGTCTCGTTTTCTTCTTGAGCGAAAATTCACTCATCATCGGGAATCTTCCACGGACGTGGAATTATACCTCGTGCGCTCTCCGTATCTCCGTGAGGTTTTCGCGCATTGATAACGACCTGTCTCTTCTCCTTTCTCTATCCCCGTTACCCTTCTCTCGCATCCGCAAATACACTCGCCCTCTCTCTCCGTCTCTTTCTCTCACACACACACACACACACACACACACACACTCTCTCTCTCTCCCCGGCATACGTCTGCGTGGCTGGCAGTCTATCAGTGCCTACACTTTGTCGGTCCGCACTTTCCCCCGTACCAGGCTCCGTCCTGTCGATTGAATAGCAGCTCCTACTATATGGCTCCTATTCTATACACGCGTGCTGTACAATCGCAAAATGGGAAACCGAGACCCTGGAAACATCTGTCGCGACCGGAGGCCGACCTAACCTCCAAAACTGCGGGAAGCCTATTATCGTCATCGTCGTCATCGTCGTGAGCGACACCCCACGCGTGTCTCATTTTCGAATGTCATTCTCCAGCAACCTGATTCGTCTAAAAAAATCATCTTGCACACATTGTATTATTTCATATATAAGGATGGTACTCCGGAGCACTGAATTATCCCCACGCGAAACTTTTGTAAGATACTCCGTTTTTCAACTTTGTCGAAAGCGATGGAGTTTCTCGCTCCCGGTCACTCTCTTCGATGTAGATCGACTCCTCCGCTCTCCTGACGCGCTTCTCGCCTCTCTCGGAGGCCGGTGAGAGCGAGACAAAACGCGACCGAGGGGAGTCGAGACGAGAAAACGTCGGTCACGATGTGGCTTCCGCAGGACGACCGGCGGAAAACGTCGACGCGGGTTTCCCTTACAAGTCGATTAGCTTTCGACGTAACCTAGAAATCGCGAATTCGTGCTGGTGCCGAAATGGGCGTAACTGCATTAACCGTGGAACGCTACTCGTATTTAACTCGCACACTCGTATCGCGGAGAAAAATTGTTTGGTTGAATTAATTGGAATTCTAGTGGAAAGATACCAACGATCCAGAATTCTGATTAAATCCAAGTACTAGAATTCTAGTCGAGATAATCAACATTCACAGAATATTTTCTTGGGTAAATCTAATAGAATTCTAGTAAATTTTTAACTAATGGAATGAAATTCTAAATATATTTTTTTGTTATCTCAATTAGAATTATGGATCGTTCATATTTTTCACTAAAATTCCAGTTAATTACTCTAGGGTGAAAATTCATTCACTATTCATTCGTTTACATTTTTTTATCCACTTTATAGATTGCAAAGTGGTGAAAATGTGTATAATTTTCCTCTATATATAGACTGACAAAAATGTTTGGTTGAAAGTGGACAAAACCAGCAGATTCTAATTTATACCAATCAGATGATTTAATTTGAAAATAATCTTCTGATTTGGCTATTTTCAATCAAACCATATTTCTCAATGCGCATCCATTCAATTAATGTATTGATTTAGTATTTTTAACAGTTGTAACAATATTACGTAAATAGATAGGAACTTGATAAGTTTTATTCAATAGTTGTGAAGCAGTTTTCCTGGTAAAAATATGTGCAATTTGCGTAGACATTTATTCGTCTAAAGTTGCCTTTATAACAAACATTTGAATATTAGCACTTAAATCCACATAATAAAGTACCTCTATCTGCTTTTTCATCTCTTGTTCGAACTGGAAATTGTAAAATTCACATTAAAGATCTTTTTGATCGAATAAGGTTTTTATTTACATTGAACGTTTCTCGGTCGATTTTTACTTAATATCTTTTATATCTATTATTGATTGCAAGCTACAACATACGTTGGATAATTAGACTGATACTATTTTAACATAAAAAGGTGGACTTTAATGCTAAACGATCTATTTAATAACAAATACTTGAATTAGCTATAGAGTTGAAACCTCCGTCATTGGTATAACGAATTATTCACAGTTTTTGTCACCGCTCCTTATTATTTTCTTTCTCTTTTTCTCTCTCTTACACTTAAAGATAATTGTTAGAGATAAACGCATCAGTTTCTTTATACAGTAGTTTCCTCCGCGTGGAAATGTAGACTGACGCGCGCGACGGAACTGATTTCGAATACAGAACATTCTCTCTCGGCGCGACATCGAATTTCAAATCGCCGCGACGACGACAACACCGTTTCCCACGACGCAACCGCGTCGTCGGAATTGTCCGTTCTTTCCACGCGCGAGTTCCTCGGTGCATCGCTATTAGTTTCTTGCAAGAAATATTCTTCGCGAATATCGATGGCGAGTATGAATAACCCGTTCGCGAAGCGTCAGCGGCGAGAACGCGCGCCATCGGGACCTTATTTAGACTTTTCCGCACGCGGGTATGATTAGAGAGCCCGCGGCTTCATCTTGGCTCCGCCTTACAACGCGAGCCACCGGCTGCTGACGCATTCTTACCCGCTTCGTCTCACATTGATTACCACTGCGCTGTATTTCAATCGTCGTCGCGTAACCGATCCGTCGTCCGCGCCGAGAGAGCTTTGCGAGCGAGACGGATTCCGGAATCTGCTCGCAATCTGGAATCCCCTCGGTCGTCGCTGCCTTCGCAGGAAAATCCGATTACCGTGACGCGCCGTATTTTTTTTTTTTTTTTACATTTGTAGTTAGCTCCTCTCGAAACATCTGTCGCTCGTTGGTCGACGACGTAACCCGGCAGGGTCGCGAGCGTGTCTTTCTGGATCGCGATTCTCGCGCGTCACGCTATCGCTCGCGATTACCTCCGCTCGGTACGTTGTCCTCGTCGGGCCTAACGACCGTGGCTGTCAAACCGCGTACGCGCACGTACACACAACATGTATACGCTGACAAAAAAGTCCGGTAATAACAGTCAAGTGACCCGGATGATAGTTAGAACGTTAGAAGTAAAGCTTTGAAATACTTCCAGTCAAGTGTTTTGTTTTAATATAAGTAAAACTATAGCTGTAAATGTTAATTTCATTTTTTGTCCACACCGAGGAAAGTCTGGTAACAACAATAATCAAGCCTAAACGATAGTCACTTCAATACAACTTCAATCAAATGTTAATTCTTCGTTTGCAATTTGAATCTCGCTTTTAGATCAAACAGAATGTCACTCTTAAAATTTACCCTCATTTTTGTTTATTTTATTTAAGTTTCAAATTTTATTCACAATAAAGGTTTAAGCATTTCAATTAAAAAAAAATATATATTTGCTAAAATGTAAAAGAGGCGTTAAAAAGTAATCCTGATTTTTTTTTAAACCTAGAACAGTAAAAATTTTAAGCTGGATGAAAAAACCCGGATTACAGATGGAAGATTAATATAACTAAAATCAACTATGAACGATAATTTTATCTTTCTAAATATTCACTTCACTTTTCTAATTATCACACGATTAATTACTATTTGATAATATTTACTAAGTATTGCGTTGTACTTTAAAGAAAATATAACATTTGACCTACAACCAGACGTTTTTTCAATGCATGCGCAAATGTATGCATGTACGCACGAGCGAGCGTTAAATTGGCACGTCTGCGTACGGCTAAAGTTATACTTCTGATAAAAATATATCGAAACTCACACGTATAGTGGATAACTGTGTAATATTTATTCTTTCTTCATACATACTGTGAGAAAAATACAAATTGATATTTGTCACTATAATTAGGTATATGATGGTAGTAAAATAATCCAGAAGACAAAGAGCTCTATTTTTACAATTATTACTGCTATAAAGTTGGCAATAATAATTATAGTTGTAGTTTTACGAAAAAATACGTCAGAAATGACTACAAATAGTCGAATTAAGAAAACTTTTTTTCTCTCTCGATGTAGGCTTGACGAGTTTTGTCACCGCGTTGTACAGCTCCACAATCGAATCTCAGCTTCGGAGTGGATCGACGACGAGAAATCCACTCCGCAATGCATATCCCGGGGTGTGTTGGATTTTGGGCACACCCCGTATATGCGCACTGCTGGGTAGCCTCCATCGGGGTATATCCAGCAGTGCTCCGACCGTTCCGATGCGGGTATATCTCCCTATACCTGGCTATTAGCATGGAGAGCCCGTCGCCCTTCGTTTTCGGCGATGGCCATTGTCCTGGACGTAAACCCGGGGCTTTTCGAGTCCAGTCTCGTCGATGAGCGCCGAAATAACGCGTCGGGGAGTGCCCCGACCGACCGAGCGCGCGCCGCGCCGTGCCGTAATTAGCAATTTTGCGAGGAGGCAGGCCTGAATTCGGTAAGGGCTTATCGATTCGCTCAGCCGGCGGTTTACGTTTCGTAATTCGCCTCGGGTTTTGGCAGCTCGTCGTACCGTACGTTGGTTGGTCTCCTCCCGCGTTAAATGTATGGGGCGAGATATACAAAGTTGTTTCGCA